CTACTAAAGAAGATGTGCTAGAGCTTTTTACTAAATATAATACTCTAGGTTGTATAACCCTTATATAGAGCTACTAAATTAGGACTATATTAGTTTAAGACATACTATAACTACTATAAAAAAAAGCTGCGCATGCATATCTTTTTATATAACCCCTACTTCTTAATTACTAATAAAGAAGAGCACACTTTTAGTATTACTAGCTTATAAATAGATAACACTTTAAGCATTATAATAAAAATTTTTATGTAAAGAGAAGAAAAAAAACTATAAAAAGTAAAGTTTTATATAAAAAGTAAGACTATTTTAGTAAAAAAGCAGCTTATTAAGTTTAATAGTAGAAGAATTAAACTTACACATAATATAGTAGTTTTTACTTAAAAAGAATAAGTAAGCTACTTTTATATAATTAACCTAAAAAATAAAAATGCTATATAATAATATGTTAAGTAACATGTAAAAAAGGTATATATTATATCTATGTGTTAACTAGAGGCAGCATTTAACTTATTTATTATTGCATAAACTATAGACCCTTTATATAACAATATTAACACACTTAACACATAAATTTAATAGTAGATAGATAATAGTAAGTGTAGTCTTACCTTTTTACTATTATAGCTTAATTATGTAAAGCTGTTTATTTTTATAAATAGATTATTTACTAATAATAAAAACTTTAGCTTATAGCTAGAATTTTTAATTATATTAGGTAATAAAAACTATATAAAGTAAAGCAACTACTTTAAAATACTAGGTAATATTATACACTAGAATTCTACTAAGTGTAAAAGAGTAACTAAAAGTGTCTTTACTAGCAAACTATATAAAATAGTTAGAGGGTTTAATAATATAATTACTTTTAGTATAACTCTATAGTAAATTATATAAACACTTAAACTACTACTAATTTTAGTAGTAATCTGCATAAATTTAAAGTTTTTATATAATTACTTTATTAAGCTAGGCACTACTAGTAAAAAGTAACTTATAATTAATATTATATTACTTTATAAATTATATAAGAAAAGGGAAATTACTAAAATTAAGTAAATTAATAGTAAAAACAACTTAGTAAATATATATATAAAGAAAACACTAAACTAAGCTTTTTAATTATTAGTCCTAACTAACTGCCTCTTTATCTAAATAGAAGCATCTATAGACTAGCTAGATCCTATGCACAAAGATGCCTTAGACTAACTAGACTAACAACGCCTTTATATAAAGCTTATTTCTTTTTATTTTTTATTTTTTTTTATATTATACGCACTTATTTTTCTTATTATAAGGATCTGTTACTGCTAACACTGTATAAAAAGAGAAAAGAGCTAGGGGATTATATAGCAGAGCTTAGAAAGTAAAGAATAAAGAAAAAAAAAGCTATTTATATAGCATAACTAGCCTATCTTAACACACAGCATTACTAAGGCAAGTCCTAATAAATAGGAGTAAAGTAAAGGCAGAACATAATTAGATAGACCTACACAGATAGAAGGGAGGTAACATGTACAGAAGGCAACTCTTTAGATAAAAAGAAAAGTTGCTAGTGTCTATACACAGCAGTAGTGTTGCAGCCTAGATATAAGCAATTGCGCATAAGCAGGATTACGTATCTATGTTACATAATGCTTGTGCGTAAACCTTTATGTGTAAACATCTAAATATCCCTTTTTTTCTCTATATAGAGAAAAAATAAGAGTAATAAAACTAGAAACATGTTGCTCTTACCTTACCTACCTTGTACACTGTGCACACTGTACACTACTCTTACTCTTGCTACTTAAGTGCTTATACTATAAGCAGCTAGCTGTCAGAGCCCATTCAACAAAAACATTAAAGTTGTCTACTTAATTAGCTATTTAATGTTTCTAGTAGTTTTATAAATTAGACATAGTAAAGTTATTATTAGAATATTAACCTTTAATATTTACTTACTTTATAGACATCTTTCTAGGGTTAGAACAACGTAGTCTAGGAATAGCCTTTCTAGAATAGTCTACTTTATGTTTTAACTTTATCTAGTACTAGATCTAACATTTTTTTATTTAAATTTATCTATAATTAGCGTCTACTAAGGCTAATATTTAAGGCTAATAGTATTAATTTCTCTTAGCATGTTTATATAGACAAGGTTGTGCTCTATTATTATTAAGTGTAGTTAAAGAAATTCTATAGTTCTAAACTTTTAAATGTTTAGACTTAGCTTTATGTATATTAGGTTAGTAATTATATTTACTAGAGTTTAGCTATTTACTTACTAAAAATCCTAGGCTTATACACTTTTTAGTTATAATCTATGTTATCTTTTTATAGCTAACTAGTATTCTAGTTAATTAGCTTACTTACTTTTTTTTTTACTTACAAATAATAATCTAGACTATAGGAGTATCTTACTTAAAATACACTCTAAATCTAATAACATGTGCTCTATGTCTTTAAGTAAATATTTTAATCTAGAGACTAATAATAATTATTAGATAGTATTAAAAAAAATTAAGTTATTACTTAAGTTAATAATAATATTATTTAGTAAAAAAAGAAGAAAAAACAGAAGATACAACATTTATAGCAGTAAAAATGTTAATTTATAGATTAGATAACTTACTTAACTTAAACTAATATCTAGCATTTTATAGTTACATGTAGAGATAGTTTATATAATTATTATTTTACTTAATTTTATTTTTTATTAGTGTTAATTTACTAAAGTTTATAAGTTACTTTACACTTATTTATTTAAAGTTCTTTTATTTACTAACAGACCTAAGCTGCTATTAGCTCTATATTTGTTACATTTATTAAGGCTAAATATTATTATTAGTAAGTATTATACTATTATCTGTTTACTTTGCTAGGTAGCATTTTGTTAAAAGCTGCCTACTATCTAGCATACAGTCTTTAATTTTTTTATAAAAAAAATTTTTTTTTTTAGGTATTTATAGGCCTAAGCACTTTTTTATAGTGTTATGTAGTAATTACTGTTATATTAAAATTTATTAGATTAGGCTAGAGATTACTGTTATCTAAAGAAGTTATCTTTATACTGCTTATGTTTTCTACTTTTAGTATTACTACTAACTTTTTTACTATATTTTTATATATTACTACTAGAGTTTTTAATATTATAGCTAGATTTTTTATATTTACTGCTAGACTTTATATTGCTTAACTAAATTTTAACCTTACTATCTAATTTCTCTAATTTTAATTAGTCTAAATTTAGCTCTGCTTCTAGCTAATTAGCCTAGGCAATTAATAGTAAAAGATTATGCTATTTTTTAATCTTACAACTATATTTGTATAGCTAGCTAATAAAGTTCTCTATCTTACTAATAGTATTAGTTATACTTGCTACTAAACTCTGCATAAGTTAGAAACGTCTAGCTATTAACATCTAATAGATATTAACAGTATAGTTAAGATTTATACTAATATTACTGCTAGAATTATAGTAGCTTATAGCTAGAGTTAGAAGAGCTTACTTCTACTTTTAATAGTATTTTAGAGGCTTAAGTTTTTTATTTAGAAGATTATTTCTAAAAATCTTACACTTTTTAAGTGTAGTGTTAATTAATTACTAATTACTACTAGATGTATATTTTATATACTATTAAAGTTTAGTAAAGTTAGCTATGTATCTAACACTTATAGTTATAAAATAAACACTTAGCCTTTTTACCTTTATAATAGTAGCATATGTATAAACTTTTAAGAAAGCCTTAAATAGTAACATATATTAGGAATTTTCTACTAAATGCTGCGCATTGTTTATAAGAAATCTGCTTAGCCTCTACTATAAACACCTAAATAGCCTTAGCGCTTTATAATTTATCTATATTTAGAAACATAGTAATGCTATTACTGTGCTTATCTACTTATAGTTAAAAGTATACTAGCTAATTTTATAAAAACTAGTGTAATTTATAAAATGCATTAAAGAATGTCTTTTTATTTTAAATAATCTAACTATTTGCTACTAAGTTAGTCTAGTAGTTATTTTAAATAACCTTTTTACTATTAACTATAATAATTCTTTATTTTTTAGACAGATTATATTTAAATAAGGCTGTATTCTTAGATTTATAGAAAGGATTAGTTTAAGTAGGCAAAGTGTAGCTAGATTTAGTAGAGGTTTAGTGTTGTGTAAAATCTCTTAGTAACTGCTATTTAAATTTAGGCAGAAAGAAACCTATTAGATTCTGTTTCTACATTAGGTTTTCTCTAGCTAATTAAAGCAGCTTCTAGAATATAAAAGCATACTCTAATTTTTAGTTTATGCTAGTATTTAGCTAATTTTAGTAGTTTTTTTACGCTTTACTATTATTACTATTACTACTTTTTTTAATATTTCTACTTTTACTGTTACTAGCTTTATTATTACTATTACTTTTAGTAGTATTTTTTTTATTTATATTATTATTATTATCTTGTAGTTTTTTGTTACTTAGACTAAACTATAATAGGTAACTATTACTTAGATAGTTATTATTATTTACTACTTAGTTATTATAAACATTATCTGTGTTTATTTTATTAGAATTAGCTATTAAAGTTACTAGTTTTAAAAGTTTCTTACTAGTAAACTTAGTGCGTGTAAATTAGAGCGCTTAAAAACATTAGCATCTAGAACAATTCTATAGTATATAGCTAGATTATTATTAGAAGTTAGTAGTTACTTTACTAAACTTAGCTTTTTTAGTTTCCTTACTATTAAGATTACTAAGGCTTAGGTAGAGAGCGTTAGGCCTGTTTACTGTCTAATGTTAGTTGTATTTTATTATCTGCTAGTATTAGACTAGTTATATATACTTACTCTTACTTATTATTAACATAGAGCCCTTTGTTAAAGTTTTATAGTTAAGTAAAGAAGTAAGAGAGGCAATTAGTAGACATATATTAGATGCTGGCCTGTGCGCTAAGCAAGACGCCTGATTATGTCATCTAAGCTTCTGAAAAGGAAGGCTAATACCTGCTCGTAACTTTAACGCTCTGGATTATTCCACCCGTATCTTACAATCTTGGGAAACATTAGCGGAGCACAGCATCCTATTCCAAGCCTCTTTAGCTCCATAGCTAGTACGTAAGCTGATACTGATCACTCTGCTTTTCTTGAACATTAGCTGCCTCTGATTGGGACATAACGGTACATCATCTGAGTGTTGCTCCTACATCTAACAGGAGGGTTGATAGGTTAAATGTACCCTGATGGTACTCCATGAGGTGCTAACATGTTGTACTTTGCATGTCGGTCTTGTGTTGCGATCTGTTTGTCTTTGTGACTCAGGTTCGGTTTTCATTCAGAAGAACTCTGTCCGTCTTTCGTCTGCCGTAGCAATTAACATTGACATGATCTTGCGACGGCAGAGGGCATCGTGGGCGGAGGTTGCATGACCCAAATTCCTACAAAATGGTTTTCAGTTCCAAATGGACATACCGGAAACACCGTGCTTACCCATCTACTTCATATGATAGGCCTAATATTCCTTGGAGTATCTCCCCGGGTGTTGGTTCTGTTTAATATGCCTTTCTATACTAGGCAAAGGAGAGCGCGGTCTCCCTATCTCATATATCGGTTTTTCTGACATTTCTATCGGATGTTTTGGGATATGTCCACACTTCTCTCCAGAAAGCTCAAGCTCGTTCGGAATCGCGAACTGTTCATTTGAGTTGGTAGCTTGGTGTAATCGACCATCTACCTCGATATTGGATGATACCAGTTGCCCCGAGCCATTCATTTTGCTCCGCTTTCGTCTTAAAATGAGGAATATGGCCAGGAGAATAACAAGGAATCCCACGACACCAGCACCGACTCCAGCGCCAATGGCCACTGCGCTACTGCTACCTCCTGATCCCGTAGAGGTTGGCGTTGCGGCTGTGGAAGGGGCAGATGTAGAGCGGGAACTGCCATAGGGAATGGTGGTGACGATGTTTGCAACATCAAGTGTGAAGATGTTGGTTGAGTTGGAGCAACAGTCATAATCCTTGTTACAGCAGTAGCGATCGTCCCCTCCAGAACAGCTCTGCAATCCTTCACCTGCATCGAGATTCTCGTCCTCTGCGGATAAATTAGTTGCCCCCGAGGAGGAATGGCTTTACCTACGTGAGACGCAGAATCGAGGATAGGAAGACGAGTTCCAAGAAGAATCCGTACACCCGCTTTCGTAGTCTTGTACTGATATCCCTTTCGATCATCAGGTCTTGGAATACAGAGTCCATTGCTTAAGCAGACGAAGCCAGAGCCGCAGCAAGCAGAGACAAGAGCATCAGGGAAGCAGGCTTGACCTCTATTCTCCAATCCCGCAGGGTAGTAGCATGTTCAATTCGCCGCAACTAGAGAACACGAGAAAATGAATATCGAAAATAGCACAGCGACTCTTACGGAAATTCAGGAGTGTCTGACGCGATCATCTACGGTGTAGGGAAGATCAAGCCTGTGATTGCTACATTTGAGGAAGTGGAGTGGTGATTGTGGTGTGAGAAGAAAGAGAAGACGCCGATGGCGTACGCAGCTTCAGTGCTTCCAACGAGGCGTAGTACTGTACGATTGGGCGATTTTGAGGCCTGTGCGGGTGAGATTTGTGTACGTTCGTACCCCAGGGAGGAGGAGAGGTAGGTAAACGTATCTGAACTGTTACAGCTCACGTGATCTGTACGAGTAGTACAATTCAACTAAAGTACGCCGTACTCTAGTTAAGAGAGCTGAGATTATAGATCTCTGTAGACGCAGGATTAAGGTCTAAAAGCTTGCTGCTCACTACCTTGTGCTGTAGCCAGGTGAGTTCTTCTAGAGTTGAATAGCCTTAATCGTCAATTACTGTACAACTAGCAACTTATACCATGACTGGCCCAGCACCTTTCCAAACGAAGACACGAATTTGACCACTTGCGAGGATGCAGAGACAACGAGGGTGATCTTGAGTTGGTTTGCTAAATGGAGTTTGTGACAAGGTTTGAGAGAGGGAATTCTTCTCAATTATCTAATTTATTCAATTCGAAAGTTCGACGTGGTTTGGACGATTCAACACCTCGACCAATCAATCCTTCATAAAACGGACCGGATACTCCGCTACTTTACTTTACATGTAGCCTTACAGAGGAGATGAGTTATAAGGGAAGTGATGTATTGTGGACTGAGGACCCGAGGAGCTATGTGGTTGATATAGTATGTTGGGACGCCAAACCCATGATTGATTGGGCGGCCCGTTGTAGAGCCTTCGAACTTAAATTACATTATTTCGTGTTTGATTCCGCGGCCCTTCTGTGCTTAGATATGTCTATTAAAAACACACGCTCGCAAGTCTAATTAGAGAAGATAGAGAATTTACTTAGTCGTGGTGTTGCCGCCATTTTATCCGCCGCTTGATCAAACCGGCAAATGTATTTATGGACTAGCGAATGAATCCCCACTCCGCGATACCTAGGTACCGAGACAGCTCTAACACTAACGAGCCTCCTAGTCTCAAGTGAACGAGCAAGTGTCTGAATTGAGTGTGTAGAGAGTCTGGAGTCCTGCGTTGGTTGTTGCCTAATTCTTTCTGACAATCTGACTCGGAGGAATCCCGAAGGATAAGTCGCACCTTGTTACATCGGTCCGCAAGACCCCTCACCGTTTATTTCAACCTCCATGTTAAAACCCTATCTTGGGTCTCACTTCTAACCCTTTCAATTTAGCAATATTCAGACGGGCTCGAGCTGAGCAGTGACGAAAACGAGCCTACTTTTTATAGCACTGCATTGAGTCATGGAAGACCTTGAGCAGGTTATCAAGAAAGCGTGTGAGGATCTTGACATCCCGGGCTGTGTCTTACAAGCTGTCAATCGTGATGGTATAGCTACGCATCTGAACTCTTCCCTTCTCGCGCTTACCCATGCTAGGTTCCTTCAAGTATGCGAAGACCTTCGGTAAACGCTCCATCCAACCCGGTGGAGACCAATCTCCCTTGCAATTGAACAGCGTTATGTGGATTGCCTCATGCACCAAGCTTATGACTTCAATTTGTGCCATGCAACTTGTCGAACGTGGTCTGCTCTCCCTGGATGGACCCATCTACGACATCATCCCCGAACTCAGGGACCAGCCCGTACTCACTGGATTTGATGACACTGGTAAACCAATTGAAGTCCCACACAAGAATCCCATCTCTTTGAAATTACTCTTGACACATTCAAGCGGGCTGACCTATGACTCCATGCATCCACTTGCAGCTGGATGGCTGAAATACCACAATCTCGTCCCAGCAACGGATTCTAAACTCCTAACCCGGTTTGGCCGGTTACCCCTCGTGTTTGAACCTGGAACGAGTTGGGCCTACGGACCTGGTATCGACTATGCCGGGCTACTCGTTGAGCGTGTTTCAAAGATGTCATTACAGGATTACATGAAGAAGCACCTTTGGGAGCCGCTTGGGGTTAGGAACATGACCTTCTTCCTAGCCTCTCGTCCAGATCTGAAGGCTCACATGGCAGACATGAACAAGCGCGACCCTGAGTCCGGGAAAATCGTCTACACCAACGAAAGGCAGCCATATCAAGATGGGGAAAAGAACGAAGTGGAAGATTGCATGGGTGGACAGGGCGTTTTCTCTTCCGCTGAAGAGTACATCAAGATTCTCCAGGGCGTACTAGCTACCGACGAGAATGAGAAGATCCTAAAGAAGGAGACGGTTGAACTTTTGTTCACTCCATATCTCAGCAAGGGAGGTTCTGATACCTTGAACGCGTTCATGCAGAACGCGGAAGCCAATAATGCAATGGGTGGTATATCACAAGAAGTGAGGAAAGATTATGCGTTAGGAGGCTTGTTTTTGTGCGGCGATGCGCCTGGAGGAAAGGGAATGAAGGAGGGGACGTTGATGTGGGGTGGGGTGCCGAACCTGATCTGGGTAAGTTGCCTGTTATCCTTCATGGATTGGAAGAAAATGAGTCTCTCCTGACTGGTATTTAGTTCTGCGACCGTAAGACGGGACTTGCTGGTCTATATGCAGGCCAAGTTGTTCCACCTGGGGATGCTAAGTGTGCGGGCTTTACCCGAATGTTTGAAGATGCAATGTATGAGAGATACAAAAGCTAAAAATTCAAATGTGCGGGTCTGTTCACGGAGGAATGGGCTGGATAGGTTGCACAAAAGGTAGGATAGAGTTTCCTTGGAGGAGGTCTCGGGGGAGGAGATGGTTGACAGGATTCACAATTTAGTCACAGCTACCTATAAATTTGCTCTTGCTTGACGCTAGGATTTCTTTCCCGTGGTAGGTTCGAAACTCTAAACATTGCTCTCGTAATACATAGAGCATCAGCTTAATTGCAGTATCTAATTGTTACCCTCAATCGATTACTCAGAGGCTAGCCCTTTCCACACAGAAACGCCCCATTCACTGTTTGAATGTTAGCAATTCGTATTGATAGTGTTACTCGTAGATCTTGCTGTTGTTAGGTTCAATGGTCGCATATTCGTTATCATGCATTGCACTCTAAGTCGACGATGTTACTGGGGTATAGCATAAGTCTATATATATATTGTAAGGTGTCAGTGGACCTTGCCCACCATCATTGCCTATTAGCCTAAACTAATACCTGAGCCTTTATCGTGGTGCCCATCGCCGAGATTGTCGTGGCTCTGTTGGCCATTGGCCTATGCTGCTCTCCTCATTCGAGTCTCCATTTCCTCCATTTCCTCTTGACTGCAGTGTTCCTCGTAATTTTCGCCATCTTGACCACTGCATTAAATCGTTAAAATGGGTGTCAAAAAAAGTTCGCCGTTCACTCACTGTCTGAGGACTTTTGCACCCGGCGCATTCTTCAGCGACCACATCAGGAGCAGCATACTGTCTGGTAAATCTTTCAAATCCGGGTCATCCCTCGCTCCAAGGTCCCTCGCTATCTCCGCTAGGTCGTTTATCCTATCGGGGTCTGGAGAGGGCGTTCTTGGTGGTCCTTGGTGTTCCCGCCAAGGCTCAGGATCGTTGCGTTCGACGGCGTCCGCAATACTTCGAAGCTGGAGCATGTTTAATTCTACCAGGGGCTGGAATTGCACACCTGTCTAATTTTAGTGGTTCTGATTTAGAGAGTTGGGGAGGAACTTACTGCCTATGTGACAGTCTGACTGGTGACTTTGAAGTTGATCGCATTCCATGCACAGTAATAGCGTGCTGGATAAGATATCGCTCAAACCGAAAGGCGTCTCTTTTTTGAGAATAGGGGGGTCACAAGGAGCAACATATCCAGTGACTGAGTCGCCATCTGTTAAGTCAATAATTAGGGAAGTCGCAGTCTCCTGGCCTTTATCGCTGGCTTGTGAATTCTCCTTGGAATTTGCCAGGTCTGAAGGCGAAGTGTGGTTAGCATGAATATCGTTTATAATCATACTGAAATCTGAGGTGTTGAGTTCAGGGGCAGTGGTGCTAGCCTGCGAAGCAACTGCTTTCTTTTCTTTTTCGTTGGCCATGAAGATCGCGGTGGACTCATCGGAGTCCGAGTCAAAAATATCGTGAAGCCCCAGGGCCTGCTTCTCCTCCCCTACAGCTGGCGTGTCCATTGTGCTGCTTTGCGCCTTGATTACAAGACCAGAAGCAGGAGGTGTGCCTCTCGAATACGGACCAGCCACGCTACACCTTGGGTGTAGATAACGTACTTCTTGGACGCTGGTTTTGCTGACACTTGTCGCCCCATATCTAGTCGTCTTGTCAGTCTTCACTTCCTCATCGCTAGCCGGTCTCATAAAGATTGAAGAGACATCTTGTTGGATCATGTCTCGTCGATTGGGTGAACGATAGAGTGTACTAGCTTGACGTTGTGCCTCCTCGCTCGAACTGGAATCATAGGGTTGTGTCTGAGTCTGGTCGGAGGACGCTGAATCATTTCGATCTGGGGGAGGCTTTGAGTGAGATATGAGCGCAACGGATCGTGTTGGCGTCTTCGCAAGACTTTTACCATCTAACCCTGACCGACGACTGTGAATTTCGTGGTGCTCTATCGCACTCTGAAAGTCTGTCATATTTGTATCTGGTTGCGGTACAGTCCCATGACTAGAACTCCTAAGTGCTTGACTAGCTCGAGCCTGGACATTGCTGCTAATTACCCTAGGCTGCAGTGCCGGAGAAAGGGACACAGTGTTGGCCAATCGCAAACTCATATGTCGGTTTCTATCTGGTGAAGATTGTGTGGAGAGAATAGTCGGTGATGCTAGGGCATCGGTGCGCGATCGACTTCCTAACCTTAATTCTAGTGAGGTCAAGTGGTTCGATTTTCCGTTAGCCGAAGGCTCCGCAGAAGTCTTCTCCCAGGTGGACTGTTGCTTGCGATGCTTCCCGGTCCGAAGTTGAGATAACTTGCGCTCGCGATCAATAGGATATACAGGGACCTCTTGTTCACCTAGGTCTGGCAGTCCGAGAATCCTTCGCTCCTCCAAAATCGCCCGAAGGTGCTGCTTTGCAGTTCCCCGGCGAGCGATGCGATATGAGTCTGATTTTCCAGATATCCATCGTAGCTCTATATCGTCGTGAGAGCCCATGCCGAGCATCTCACTTAAGATGACTTCCTCGGCGCTCTGCAGTCCTTTGCAGAAAGCTCGAGCATCATCGCGACCGTCTCCTTCTGATTGGAAGCGCCAATAGCCGTTTTGAACGTGCACCTGCTCGACAACTCTAGAGAAATGATGAAATAGGGTTCTTGATGTGAGTGGTTTACCCTCTGCTGTGACCGGTCCGTGAAATACAGTGACATATTCCTCGTCTCTTACTGAGGAGGCGGGCATGGCGGACAGTGGATGAAGATAGAACGTACGCCAAATGAAAGGAAATGCTAACCAGGAACAGGTTGGCCCAGGGGATTGATAGTGGAAGGAAAATATACTTGCTCCGTTGCTGTTAACCGCAGTGAAGGTGCGACCCGCCACTTTGGGTTGGTGCTCGATTTGAGGTGAACGTTCTTTCTCTTCTTCTCCAGGTGTAACGCAGTGATTTTAGGGAGGGAAGATGGGTAATTTTTAGGTTGGACGCGTCGCGTTGCCATGACGACACCACTTGATGGTGTGACCCACTTCCACCTTACTTGCTTCCTCCCTAACTTCTTCCACCCACATGAACTTCGAGATTGGGAATGATGAAATTCCCCAAAGCCAGTTCCGGACAGCCCTCTCCAAACCTTGCGATGGCATCATGCGGGAACCCGCCGCAACACTTCTATCAAGCGGTGTGCTCATATACACACTCTCCTGATTTCTACCAACTGTTGTAGTGGTTGAGCTAGTGCCGTGGACGGATTCAAACACCTCATAGCAGAAATGGAGGAGACATTTACTCGACTAGAACATTTATCCTCCCAGGCCTGAGTGAAGTCTTCACCGAGCGTGCAACAAAACTATCGCAGCAGTCTCCTCCCTCAGAACACTTTCCCGTTCCCCTAGCGAACTCAGAGTAACCAACTCTTCATAGATCCGCTGTCTTCTTCACTTGGATCTACACTATCCAATCACTACCCCAGTATGGCTTCAAGAAACTGAAGGAAGAAAATTGTGCGATTGGTATGCTACGCAGACCAAATGGCTTCTAGAATGTGCTGAGTGTGGCTTACGATTTTGTACCAACGCTAGCATAAAGTAGCTCCAACGCATACAAAGGAGGTGTCTAAAGGATAGAAGCTGTGGGAAGCGAAGCAAGCTTGAGCGGAGTTAGTGGGTGGTAGGTTGTGATGCTTGAGGTCCTTGGGGGAGTCCGGCTATTGTCTTGGCGGATGTCCCACGAAGCTGAAACCACTCCGGCCAACCTCACCAACGGAAAAAAGAAAGAGAAAGTTGTTGGAGAGCTGGCGCTTGTTGGAGTTTGTCTTACGGATCAAGTTCCGAGTGCAAGGGCCCCATCGCCCCACATTCATTGTGGAGATGCCGCTGCTGCAAGAAGCGGGGGAGGGGTCTCTTCAACATCACGGATATCCGCGCTATCATCACTGGAGCGGCGAGTGTCTTGAATCGAAGCTCTGTAATGTCCCTAATGTCTCCAGAATCACGAGAATTTCCATTGATGTTCTTCAAGAAATGCCGGCGGCTCCAGCAGGCTGGTAAGGACCGGAAGTTGCTGGGATTGCGGGATGTTTGAGCATCATTTCCCCGCTGTAGGTCTGCTCTATGCATATGGACTTTATTACCGGTAGTGCTTGACTGCTGTGGCTTCGAGCTATAATATATTTAGAAGATTCTCCGTTTGTTTAAATCCTCTCCTAATCCAATCTGATAGCATCATCACTGCACTGCTTTCAAGTAACCTTAGCTCCGACTACCTTTGAAAGATACCTTAATTTCTCTCATCTCCTTCAAGCCACCAAAATTCTACCTATCTAGACAGCCAAAATGCCAGGCGTTCTCATTCAAGATACTCCCTTCAAGATGATTACTGTTAAAGAACTACATCCAAGCTATGCAGCAGAAGTCATCGGAGCTGACTTCATGGATATGTCGGATGAGCAATTGCGAGAGATCAAGGCCGCGATGGCCAAAGTACGTCCAATGCCCCCACTGAATTGTTTGCCGTGCGGTTACTTACACGACACAGTACGGCGTTCTAGTTTTCCGCAACACAGGAATGACGGATGATGAACACGTTGTATTCTCCTCTAAGATCGGCGAACTTGACAACGTCAAAAGATACCTCACTAGCGGTCGCAAGTTGCGCTACAAGCACTTTGAACTCTTCGATGCCGGCAATGTTGATGAGGATGGAAATCCGATCCACCCCGATGCTCCTCGATCGCACTATAATAGAGGCAACGCCTTGTTCCACGTCGACTCGTCCTTTAACCCACGCCGAGCTAGCTGGTCCCTCCTCAGAGCCGTTGAACTTCCACCACCTGGTATGGGCGGCGAGACTGAATTTGCTGATAGTAGGACTGCGTGGGATGAACTAGACGAAAGCCTAAAGAAGGAGTTGTTAGAAAAGGATTATATTGGTGCACACACACTCTTGCATTCGAGGAAGAGCGGGTCTCCGGAATACTTCAAGGACCTCGATCCCACGTCGCAACCCATGACTCGCCATAAATTGGTTCAGACACATGAGCCCTCTGGCCGTACCAATCTGTACATCGCGGCACACTGCCATCATCTTGAAACTGCAGAGGGACCTATTCCTGGAGACGAGTCCAATGCTCTGCTAAAGAAGCTGATGGACCATGTGACCCAGCCTAAGTACGTGTTGAGTGTGGATTGGTTTAATGAAAGCGATATGGTAGCTTGGGACAACACTTGCGTGATGCATAGGGCAACAGGGGGAAGTTTCGAAGGGAAGTTCAGGAGAGATATGAGGAGGACAACGGTACATGACGATAGCACAACAGCATGGGGGTTGAATGCTGGGCAAGAGGCAAGAGGTTTCAATTTGCAGAAAGTTATGGGTGAAGGGAAGGTTGAAGACATTTCTGTGTCCGCATCTGTTATGAAGGCTAGCGCATAAGCTTGGAGAGTTTTGTTGAAGTGATTCCCCCTGTAGGGGGAACTCGACGGAATGGGTTAGCTTGAGACAATTTGCATTTGTTTCTCTCGCTTCAAAATTGTTTGCAAATACTCGTATGTCATATTCTATCTTCCAACTTAACGGGAAACGCCTGTAATCTATTCCCTGTCTTCCCCAAGCTCTCTCCAATAGTGTTCAGATCGAGCCCACCTATTCCATTCCGTTATTCGTATTATGGCGGAACCGAGCTCCATCAGCTCACGCCAAGCAACTTCCAGCCCCACACATCCCGGGTTGCAAAGAGTATTTAAGAAGAGCCAAGCTTTTGTGGCTTGTTGTAGCCTTCTTCTATCTCTTGCAAACGCTTGTCCTCAACCTCATTTCATGTGCCGAAGAGATCAGCAGCAGATTCATAGCAAGCCGGGCACGAAGCTGGGGTACAGTAGTCTGCCCTAGTCAATAACTTGGGGAAGTAGACTTCCAGAAGATATTGGACGTAAACACAGTGAATTGAAGATATGATGAAACTTTGCTGTTGGGTTGGTCTGTACATTGCGTAGCTTGTGAACAGCAACCTTCTTGCCACCCGCTTAGCTATATCATATCGCAGTTGATACCTTTACACCTACAAAGTTTGTCATCTGTCAAGATGTGGTTCTTGTCCTAATGGGGATACTTGGGATTGGTGTCCATCAGCACAAGGATTCGATATGCACGGGCCACCCACCCCTCTGAGGTGAACACTCTACTTTCACGCCTTAGCTTCAGATCCATTCACATTTCTTTGTCCCCATTGTCCGTCACTTTCCGTCTGCCCCACAAGTACTCGACTCGAATGCGATGTGTAGACATTTTTTGGACTACTTTCCACATCGCAAGTCATCGTACTCCAACCTTGGCGAAAGGACGGCCAAGGCAGATCTCCAAAAACGACAGCGAATTGGACGGCTAAAGTGAGGGGTCTTTCTCCCGCAAATATGCACTAGCATGAAGAATTTGGAAGCTACCGCAGATATGGGCTAGGATGACATTCATTTATTGGAGATTCCTCCGCAAAGGCTGACCTTTCAATCTGCATTACCCTGCATATGCACCACATTTTGCATTCTCCTCATAACTTTCCGGCGTTCTGGACACCACGGGATACAGGAAAAACGCTCGGTAATGTCGTACTCCACAAAAGCGCCGCTCAAGTGGCCGTCAACCGTCTTGTGGAACATTGGGCGTTTATTAAAGCGTTCCAGCAATAGTGACCATATATACCAGTGGTGTTACCCTGCTTCACTACTCATAATACCCATAAAATTCATCCGCAATCACCACCTGCCATGGAGGGCAAGCCCGAGCAAGTTCGAATCGAAAATACCATCGAGCCCGTGGAGACGCCGAGCTCCCCTTACCTATCCCAAAAGGATGTCCCCCTTGTCCTCAAGCAGGCTCATGAAAACAACTTCCACATCCACCTAGGGTGGAGATCATGGCTTATTATCTTCTTGACATGCTTTTGGTTTGTTACTATTGTTTGTGGTGCACATGCGCGCTGGAGAAACTGACATCTCTTGTAGTCTCATGGCGCAAGTCTTCGTCGTTACGGCGGCTGGTCAAGTTCTTGCCTTTATTGTTAGAGACCTAGGAGAACCGGTATGTTTTTAACTCTGCCCTCTTTCTGCAGAATTCCGACAGAAACACTGTATGTAATATGGACCCTAGAGGCTTGGTTTCTCATGGACGACATTTTGGCCTAGATACTAAGCTTCTAAGGTATCCTTTCAAACGGGTTTTGTATAATAGCGCATGATGATATCTGGCTGATATCATTATATCTAGGAGATCTCCGGATGGATCATTCAAGGTCCTCTCCTCATGCAAAGCATCTTCTCCCCTACCGTTGGCCGTCTCTCGGACGTTTTGGATCGTAAATACATGTCGTCTATCCCTCCGCTATTCGCTTTCGCAGGAGCCGTCATTTCCGCAAAGGCTCAGAATATGTCCATGTTGATTGGAGGCTCTATTCTGATTGGCATTACGCTATCTACCGCACCCATTATCCACGCTATTCAAGCTGAAGTGTTACCTCTCAAATACCGTGCTGTCGCGAACGCCTTCTCCTTCATTGGAGCATCAGTAGGTTCAATGTGAGTACACCTCAACCTCTACAGAATATAAAACAACTAACCATTACAGTGCCGGTGGCCTTGGAGCTGGAGCTTTGACAAGCCGAAGTGCAGATGGGTGGCGTGGCGTTTTCTGGATCCAAGCCGCCCTTCATGCCGTCACTGCGCTTGGATTCCTCTTGTTCTACTGGCCAACGCCTCACCCGGATTATCCTAAGATGTCGCTAAAGGAACTAGCATGGGAGTGCGATCCATTCGGCTCCTTTTTCTTCATTAGTAGCTCTGCTTTACTCTTGCTAGCATTCGACTGGGCCGGCGGAACATACCACTGGAAAGATCCTCATGTTGCAGCCCCACTTGGGTTGGGGTGTGCGCTAATGGTTTGCTTCATATTATACGAGTGGAAAGGTCGAAAAGATGGCCTCGTCTCCCACGTTTTCTTCCAATCTGGCCCTAACTTCCCGGTTGGCGTCTTAGGATTCACGGTGGAAGGGTGGATCTTCTACAGCGCAGTCAACAGTGTGGTGCCCCAGCAGATCCTTCACCTGGGGTTTGAGCCTACGGCATGGAGAATCTCTATCCGGCAGCTCGCCTACGCCTTTCCGTCTCTCGCGACATCCTTAGCTATCTCCGCATGGGCAACGAAGAAGAGAGACCTTACACGACCTTTGTTCATCACATTTGGGCTATTCCTTGTTGGCGTAGTCTGCTACGCTACGCTCAAACCTGGGCAAAGCAAGGCGCAGATCGTGTACACTGTCATTGGTAATTACCTCACACTACTCTCACCTGTCTTTGCAAACTCTTGCTAATGTCATTCAGTCGGCATGGGTCAAGCAGGCCCTTTAACACTTCTGGTCCCTCTGGTTCAATTCACAGCCCCTCATGCTTTCCTCTCGACCGCCTCTGGCCTTGCCTGTAAGTACTCTGTGTTTCCCATTCCCTAGCCCCTAGATTTATGTACTGGATCATATATCAGCAATCTAGTGCTTCTAGAGGGGTGTATCGGATTTTTAAACACCTGCTAACATGATGCAGATTCCGGTCGCGCAATGGGTGGTGCCTTTGGTTCCGCTGTTCTCAATGCTATAATAAACAACCACCTAAACAAGAACCTCGCTCGGTCGGTCGGGTCCGCCGCGACAAAAGCCGGGCTGCCCCAATCCTCCGTTAGCAAGCTAATGAAAGCTATGGCAGCCGGCAAAGCTCAGCAGATCCAAGCTGTCCCTGGCATTAACAACGCCATTCTCCAGGCAGCAACGCATGCAAGTCAAGAGGTGTATGCGAGAGCGTATAACTTGGGTTGGTGGTCTATCTTCCCGTTCGTAGTCATTTGCATGATTGGACTGTGCTTCTTGAGAGGGGTGAAGGAGTTAATGACAGAGAAGGTGGAGGCCACGGTCGAAAAGATTAAGCAGCAGGAGAAGGGTGAGGAGAGGGCTTGAATTTAGTAGGAGGTGCAATTTCGCCGGCTGTCAAAAGCAATGAGGTAAGCGTCTATAAAGTTCTCCTCTTTTCCATGAGTTCCCCAGATGTTAAGGGTATCTTTAAGTCCTCGCGCTTGGCACTATAAATAAACCACCAATATTTAGTCTTCTTCGTACAGCTAATGTGTGATTTCCTATCCACCACTGGTTCAGATTAAGTACTTTCCATTGAGGGAGGCGCATGCTGTTAGATATCTTAGGATTAGATGACAATATCCGGCCTGATTGTGGCTAATACAATTGATAACCCACTGAATATTCGCTGCGGTAAAAAAAAAAAAGAAATTGGCAGATCTCCCTTGATTCCTAGGTTTATTGTTCGTGCCTAATGCGCTTTCCTTTTTTCACGCCTTGGGGTTCTTCAAGAACACGCCGTAATATGAGCCGCATCCATTACATGGCTCATATCGTCCCTCCAAAACTGCAACGGTGATCTCACCATATTCCATGATGGCGCCAGTATAATTCGAGGCGAGAAAGCCAGAATTGCTTGAATATAGACGGGAGAGAGAAATTGAAGGTTATTGACGGAGAATAAAATACTATGAGCTACCCGTCAAAGGGAGCAAACCTCAGTGAGCTTCTCAGCTTCCCTTTTAGCCTACCAAAGATGGTCTCAGTATCATAAACACTTTATCGAGTATGCACATAGACCTTCAATCAGAATCCACGCCGAGTCGCAGTTGAAAGCCTCGAGGTCTGGAAGGCCTAGCCTCTAGGTGCTCTCCCTTCACGTCCCACCACGGCATCCTCTTCACTCGCCACCCCAACTCTAGCAGTAACATGCTGTAAAGCCTTCTTTGCCTCTTGCTCCTCCCTGGCAGTTTTCGCCGCTGCAGCTTTCTCTTCCGCCTTCTTCAGGGCCTCGATCTGCCTCTGAGCTCCGTAGGACAGCGGTACTGCATCTTCTGCCTCTCCCCCCACGATTGTTGACATAAGGAGGTTGCCCTTGTCCTCTTCTCTTAGTTTCATGAAGGGCTTCTCGTCCTGGCGTGGCTGCTTCTTCGGCTTGGTGATTTTGCTGGGTTTGCCCTCGCGGGTCTTTCGATTAATTCGTGGCCTCTTCTTTAGAGTAACTAAAGGAGATAGACGTGTTGGAGGCGGTGGAGGTGATGTCGGGCGTGGTGCCGAGGTTGCACTCGAAAATGGTAATGGAGTGCTGAGGGCTGGTGTCATCGGGGCCAGGTTCGTGGGGAAGAGGTTGCCAATCTCAGTATTAGTGGATGTTGCGGAGTCCCAGGGCATTTCAGCCGGCCCTGGAGAGGAATAAAACAGCAGTAGTTGCTCGAGCTCGCCGGGTTTAAAGTCGGGTGCTGTTCCCATGTTTGGAAAAGAGCTGTGTCGAAGATGGTGACACGAACGAGAATTTCCAGTATGGAGGATGGCAGTGGGGAGAAAACCAAGGCGAACGACTGTTTCCTAGCGGAACCGGAATATCCTTCGGCGCAGATAACGGTGAAAGAGTGAAGTGAGCCTTTCACACCACGGAGAAGTTGCACAGCACAATGATATCATTCGATTCTAGAACTCGCCTCAAAACTGCAAAAAATCACCCTTAATTTGGCGCAGTTGTATTCCATCTAGTTGGTGAGCCCTTGGAAAGTCAAAACTTTCGAACCTTAGGAGTGAATGAGAAAGTCACGTGGGTGCAAAATCCTGACTGAGCATTAACAGCTACCACGGAGGACAAGGTGAGATATTTACCGCTTTTTTATGCATTGTGCGTCTTGGCAACACAATATATAGAACAATTACGTAGGAGGACATGATTTTGGACCAATCGCTTGTGGTACCTCTCCTAGATACCTCTAGCAGGTATGCTAACGTCAACCCGATCCGAACAACTTCCCCACAATCTACAACTCCATGCCATCCTAGGTCCCATAGGTCGCCCCAATCTTATCAACTTCGGGTAGTGCTTCCCGTCTACATGCAGCATCAATGTGCTCATCTCCTAGAGCTTGACACAATCAGCGCAAAAGAGTTAGACTCTCTTACTCGTGGACCTTAAAGAGTAGCCTTGAGTCTACTTTACCATGGAATTCGTAGAATAGTTCCTTTATCTCTTACATCTGCCATATAATGTAGAGAAACCGCATCGTTATATTAAAGCGGCAATCTTCAAGGGGAGACTGGGGAGTGTCCTTCCTAGACCTATCTTAGTAGGTAATCATGCGTTCTATTAGTGAAAAGTATTTCTTCATAGCTACATCTTCGTTAATTCAGTGACTCTCAGGTGACTCTGGAAGTCTGAAAGTCGCATACTTTTATCATGTCCGGTTTCCTCGACCACTGCACTGGCGTTAGACAAGGTGACTCCGTCAGCGCCACCAGGCACGCGAGTTGTGCTCTCCACTGCTGCCTCTCCTGTCGTTTCCAATGTACCTATCGTCTTCATTGTCTAATTGTTCAAACCAAATAACAGAGAGTAGCTGAGTGCTGTAGTGGGAGCTACCATATCCCTGGCCAAAAGATCAATTGCTATAAGCGGTGATGAACCCGTTGAGGTTATGAGGTTCATGTTTGCTTGGCCAAACCCTTTAATCCTCAATGATGCTCCACGGTGCATTCTATTATGCCCAATGTCGGTAATTCTACAATATTTCTTTGGATTCCCCACCTAGAACCGTTCCATTTCGAGAGGTATGTTCTGATCCTGCAAATGCTCTTCTGGATGGCACGTCTCCATCTCCTTCATCAAACCTGTAGCCAGAGTCCGCTTCAATACCAACGACCATGCCAAGTTAGGCTAGTGAACATTTTTTTGAATCTTGCCCTTATTATCTTGCCATCATTACCTATTAACTCAAAGTGTTGCTGACGAGTTCGATAGGGTGCTAAGATCCCACTCACCAAATTAGCGGGATTGAGTCAGGAGGTCGTCCTAGGATCTCAAGCCGTCCTTTCATACCACCACCGTCCATACTTCTCCAGCTTCCATTTCCGTGAGTCCCCCGGCTTCCCAATGCGACTTGTAAGCGAGAGGAAGGAAGCCCAAATTATGCCAACCACGGACGCTTTCAGATCTCCCAGGGCCTCCGGGCCCCCTACCTTTTAATTCTCGTGTCTATAATTGTTTGGAGGCCTGTGTTCTACTGATCCCGGGTCCCTAAATGTAGGTTAATGTCAGGGCGGACCCGAACAATCGACTATGTGTTGATCCGAGCTATATCAACACTGAAGTTCCACCACCTACTAGATTAAAATACAAGCCTTATACTCATGTACTGGAAGCTATGTTAGTGGTGATCTTAGCTTAAGGGTACAGCGATCTAGGAGGAGGTTAAGCTCTTGATGAATCGTCAAAATGTTATAGGCGTCTAGGAATCTGCGTTGATCGTAGTAGCCTGAGTACGGGGTATTTTCAGATTGTGCTCTTTACTTGCAGCTAATCTCTATCCTTTACTAGTACATCTTGTTATGTAGCTTAAAATTACACGTATCCCTCGTAAACTTCCATACATGTCTTGCTATAATATGAAGTGACGCAAAATATGACAAGTTCCAATCATAATGCTACGTAGAGTTACGAAACTACGAAACGATATAAATAATGGCCAATGATTAGAGTAAATTCCAACCAAAAAAATATTAAGCATGTGGGATTGCAGAGGGATAAAGATACAGGGCTTCCAACGGGCCGTACTATGGCCCGTACAAAGTGAACCGTAACGGTCACGTGTTCAGTACGAACGTACCGAGTTCGTGAGCTGTACCGTATGTTTAATGATGCCCTAGGTACAGTACGGAGTACAGATTGTATTACTGTTTTAGGAAGTTTGTATAGGGGTTATAGAGGGGTAGAAGGGCTCTAGCAAGCAGAAGGCCTACAGGGAGCGTTTAGGGGGGCTTCTAGGGCTCTAATTAGCTAAAATTTTTATAAGGACGCTTAAATCTCTTTCTAAAGGATTTAATCTATGTACCTGCAGTGTGTTGTCTTAAAAATGCCTATTACAGACTAATTTCTATACAGAGTTATCTATCTACGCCTCTTACTACTTTATAAGCCTTATATAGTTAATTAGATCCCTCTATTATTAGTCTTATAAGTTGTGAAAGTTAAAGCCCTCTACACTACGTCTTCTACTTTATCCTACAATAGTACACTGTCTATAGCTAAAGATTAATTGCAGCAGTCCCTAGAGGACTGCAATCACGTTGCGAGGCAATATGTACGCTGTTAAAGGTGTAGGCTTATAGCGCAGATATAACGCTCCTAGAGGAGCAGGGCAAGGTACTCTGCTTCTAACTCTACTATTAGTGTTATAAGTAGACCTATCTACTCTTATTACTAAAAAGAACTAGTTATTTTATAGTTAATTAAACCTTAATTTTATGTCTTTAAAGACCTATAGTCTAAGCTGTTTTAACTAGAGTACAGCGTACTTTAATTAAATTATACTACTTGTACAGATCACGTGAGCTGTAACAGTTACAATACGTACACTTACCTCTCCTCCTCCCTATCGTACGAACGTACACAAAATCTCACCGGTGAAGGCCTCAAAATCGCCCAATCGTACAGTACTACGCCTCGCTGAAAGTCCTGTAAAGATAAGCTCTTCGAAAATTACGTCAAGAGCTTCTTCTCTTCACCCTGAACTTTCGACTAGTCTAGCCCATTCTTCCATTCGCCCTTCACAATATATTAGTGCTTTAAAACTCTAGTTACACTCATTATATTATAAATGTCCAAATGTTAACGCCAGCCCGGCAAACCCCTACAAGCTCTTCGTCAAGAGCATGGCTGAAGACTACACAGAAGATGGGGCATCAACCTTCTCGTGAAGCTTTTCACCTTCCACGATGAACGAGAGGTTAAACGTGAATCTCTCTCAATCTTCATGAACAGCCTCGAGGTATTCCCCCCACCACCATAACATCTTCTCCTAATAGTGTAGAAAGAAATGTGACCCTACTCTGAACGAACGGTCCCGAAAAGCCGTACTCCGCTTCATGACCACAGGAGACGATCCGTTCTCTGACCCTGTAACTATCTTCATCCTCGAGGTCGCGGAAATCATTTCCGCCTACCCTGGCGCAGAAAATCTCGTGGAGGAATGGAAGATGTGGCCGACTGGCTTGCGCCAGTCAGGAACGAGCCCCATGCACCTGACTTGAGGGCAAATGGCGGGACCGGCCGGACAGGATAGGATTTTCTCAGACGTACACTAAACAGGAGAAATTTGGTCAGGGCGATAAAGAGAAGATCAAGGAGTTTGAGGATCTAAGGCGGGCAGGCTTTATACCGGCGTTCGAAAAGTACGGCCTAAATAATCAGTCCACACTTAGACATGTATACTCTGCCCCAGAGGCGTTGAAGGATATCTTGAGGAAGGGGGCTCCAGAACTGTTGAAGGAGTGGGAAGAACCGGAGGAGAACAGAATGCATGAGTTCGAAGAAAGTTTGAAGAAAGGATCAGCATGGAAAGTGGAGAATTGATAGTGCCTTAGTTAGTATACCCATGCGCTCTCCCTGCGAGACCGTCACTAGGTTCCCATTTCTAGCATCATGACCGTTATTTTCTAAAATATCACTACCGGTAATTTTGCTCTATCTTCTCACCTAAAGATCCCCCCTCCTCGCAGCGCCCAGAATAAGCGGACTCCCTCATGTTGTGTATTTGAAATTTGGGTGTCGATATCCGAGCATCTTTTCATCCTCCTTTTCGAGTCGATAGCTGCGCTCACCGGTCTCTCGCTTACGATTCTCCCACTTACAATACACGATATTCAAAGTTGAGAGCACTAAAGAGAAACAAAGCATGCCAATGTTGATTGCATGTCCAGTAGTATACCTAGGCCTGAACATTCATTAGCATTCTCATATGGGCGGTAGAAATGCAGTTTGCTTACCCATCTTTTTGCAGATAAGTGAAGGTGGCAATGAACGCGGCCATATTCGCAATCATAATTTGAAACCCCATTCCAGTTGCTCGGACATAATGCGGTGCAAGATTATTCGAAAGCCAGCCCATAACGAGAGGAGAACAGGGGAAGATTCCAGCAGCAACGAGAAACGTGCCTCCGTATTGAGTCAGAGTATGTTTTGATGCAATTAACATGATATACCCAATAATTGCAATCGAGCATCCAACCAACATGAGAGGACCCCTAACGCGTAACTTATCCGAGTACCACCCCGTCAATAGGACCATGCAGAAGGCACCCATATTGGGGGGAACAGTGAGAAGTTGTGCTTTGACGGCGGTATACCCAAGGGATTTAATGATAGTTGGGAGGAAAAGCGAGTAGGAGTATATGGGCGTGATGATGGCGAAGAAATTGAGGGATAAGGCGATGGTGTTGACATTTAGAAGTGCACGTCGGACCCAATACCAGGAGAACTTTTCGTGGTTGACGTCTGAGGTTGGATTGGATCCGTGGGCATCAATCCGCATACGTGCAAGACAGGCGGAGTGCTGTTCCGGGCTAAGGAATTTAATATCCGATGGCGTGTGCGGCAGCATGAAGAGCACAATGATACCAAAAGCGATGGTAATGGCCCCTTCTACAAAGAAAATGAAGGGCTTGTGGAAGTCAGCATTCAAGCTAAAATCACCAGGAACTGGCATACATACCCATCCAACATATCTACCAGAACTTATTTGTGCGAGCCCAGTCGCGAGGAGCCCGCCAAATGCTCCACTCAGAGGCGCCGCGCAGTAGAAGAGTGTGATACGGTACAGCATCTGATGTCGTGGATAGAACATTGCGAGGTATACAATCATTCCTCCCAATAACCCTCCTTCCGTAAACCCAAGGAAGAATCTTGCGACCAGGAGCCCTGCGTAGCTCTTCACAAATCCGGTACACATGGAAACAATTCCCCAGGCAATCAAGAGCGTTGGTAAATAGTAGCCTGCTCCAAAATACTTGATGACCAGATTGCTCGGAATGTCATAACAGATGTACGGCACATAGAAAACGGCGAGGGCGATGTTGAACTTGTTCGCGTCCAGGTGCAGGTCTTTGGCGAGCCCATCGATTCGCGCATTACCGATGTTGCTTCGGTCGATGAAGGCCAATAGCCAGAGGCCAAAGAGCCATGGCATCACATGGATATCGAGCTTGCGTGTGATGCGCTTCTCGAGGTCCGCTGGGATCTCTGTTGTGTCTTCCCACGTCGTTTTCACTTTCTCGAGATCTAGAACATGGGAAATGGGGGAAAGATCCACCTCTTTCTTCTCGTCCGTGGTGGACATTTGGAGATCTGGGACGCTATTTAATATGAAAGATGTATGGATGATTCGGGAAGCCCAAGAAAAGATGTGAACAATAAGAGGGAATTGAGTGTAGCAGCGGTGATGCTGTTAAGGAAAGAAAGGCGGACGAGATAAACGACATCTTCCCGACCTGCTCACCGAACTACCGAAAAATGCCAGAAGATAGTACCCTGGCATACGACACGGGGCGATCCCTAGGGTTAGCATTTCCCCGCAACGATCGAACCATAAAGCATCAGCATGAACGAGCGGGATCCGTTTTGCTCTTAGGCCCTGCCGCTATGTAAATATTCTGGCGGTGATGACTGCATGAATGTTGGCCTGTACGTGTCAAGTGAGCAGAGAAACATGCACGTGACTGACAAATACATTTCAGCGGATGAACCTCGGGATCATTGTCTGCTTTGTATGAGGGGCGAATTGAGTTTAACATAGCTAGCTAATATAGAGTAATTCAGCAGACTTTGTACATGGAGAGCGGTGGTTGAGCGGCTTGAGACTTTGCATGATGACTATCCTGACAAAAAAGGTTTCCATCCCTCAAAATCAAAGCATCATCACTTAACTCACGCACTATGCCTCAGCCGGCTACGTGATAGGGCCCCTTTGCACAGTTGACTTCCCTTTCTCAGTGCACATCTAATCGTTAGCTCACCCTTCACCCCATCAACAGTCCAACAAGCCTTCACCCTCGGGCCGTTGTGACGCACAGACCCTGTGGCGGGTTCGGTAAGCCGTTCTTGGAAAGCTTACTTTAATATCCACTGATTCAACGCTGACCTCCACCAGCTTTATGCTTGCCAACCGGTCCCCAGTAGTTTCACCATGAAGCTAACAGAAGATGACCTCTACCGCGCCTCGACTCAGTTTAAGCACTGGTCCTTCACTCCCTCCCAGCTTGCCGCTCAACGCCAGAAAACCAACATCCAAGCCTCTGAGCGCGTGAAGGCTGCCGTCGCGCGCCAACGAGCTCAACGCGCGAAACACTTCGATACTGCCAGCGCAAGCGAGAGTGAGAGGAATGGGACGCCGGTGCCTACGGATAGGCAGGTAGACTGTTTGACAGTGGCGGAGGAGAAGAAGCTCGTGGACACATTTTGCGAGAAGGCTATTGACTTGGGTGGCTTCTTCAAGTTTCCCATTGAAGTCACGGTGCATCTCACCATCCCCTATCCCCAAAATGAGAAGGGTGCATCTGCTAACAGGCATGGGATAGGCAACAGGCATCCAATTCCTACGCCGCTTCTACCTCTTCAACTCCCCCATGACGTACGAGCCCCAGACCATCTCCCGAAGCGCAATGTTCGTTGCCAACAAGACAGAAGGCCATCACCTCACCCTCGAGAAATACGCCGCCGGCTTTCCGAAAGCCACAACAGAGCAAGTTCTCGCGCCCGAATATCTCATCGTGCAAGCTCTTCGCTTCAACTTCGACATCCGGCATCCATTCCGCGCGCTGAAAGGAGGACACCTGGACATGATAGAGATGGCTCGAGGCAATATCACACCACTCCCAAGCAATCCGGAACCCGCCTTGGACATCCATTCCTCTATGCTCAAACTCCCACGCAAGCCTAATGGCCCCGAAACAAATATGACAGTCAACGACCTCGAAAAGCGCATAACCGACGCCTACAGCCATGCCTCTCACATCCTGAAGACTGCCGCCCTCTTAACTGACGCATACTTTCTCTACACCCCATCCCAAATTTGGCTCTCCGCGCACCTCCTCGCCGACGAACCCCTCACCCTCTTCTACCTCTCCGCAAAACTCCCGTCATCCTCTCCCAACTACCCTAAAATTCTCGCGACACTGCGGTCATGTGCAGATCTTCTATCCTCCCACCACTCCTTCAGCTCCCCGACCACAACTCCCGCGGAAAAACAAGCCCGGGACAAGAAAGAGAAGGAAGAAGTGCAAGCCCTGATCAAGAAACTGCGGCATTGTAGGGACCCGGACAAAATGGACTTGGTCAAATTGAATCAAGCACAGAAACGGGACGCGGTAGATGCAGGTGGTCTGGAGGAGAGTAAGGCGAAGAGGAGGAAGTTGGAGCGAGAGGGGTATCAGAAAGAGGCGGATGATTTTTGGGGGCCGGAGTTGCCGAGGAGAGAGAACGGTGCCAAGGCGGGATGAGTGGGAGGGGGGGAAGAGATTTGGGTTTTTGTGGGTTGGTGGATTCTTTGCATGGCATGGCGTTTGAGAATTGCATAGATGGCGTGGGATAAGGCTAGATTCTGCAAGGCCTAGTATGTGCATGGGCTTAAGAATGTACTAGATATATTGAAATTTCACTTTTATCATCCTAATGCAACAAGTCCACAAAGCAGCATTTATCTAAATCATGGCCCTTCTCCGACTGCAGGACCACAAATGCAGTTGATCAATCAAGCAAACGCCCGAGAACCCGAGCCGCGATGGCAGCCGTGAACGAAGGACTAAAAGATTAGATGATTGGGTCGGGTTAGAGGAATATAGGAAGCGAAAAGGCAGCCAACTGAGTGACCGACTCTTAGAAGTTCTTCGATATAGTCAGACTAGTGAATATATGTCACCGCAAGACCCGATTTTAGGCTGCAGGGGTAAAAGCACTCGCTTCACCCGAGAACAGCTTGCGAGAGAGTTGAGGTATACAATTTAAGCACGTTTCCCCTCAGATAGACTGGGATTCGGGCTTTCACGTTCTCGTCACCTGCTTAACGACGCGACGTCCTGAAGTCTGAGGTTGGAGATGAAGACATCCTGTGTAGGGGTCTCTTCCTAAACGCACTGGCTCTTTGGTTCCCTCACAAAGGGGCTGGTTCAAATTGATAAACTATCTATTCTCCTATCTATCCACATTTATGTTTAGGCGGTATTATAGATACCTAAGGTCCTAAATACAGAATAGATAGGTTTAATACCCCGAACCAAAATCCTGTAAGTGCGCAAAAGGATAGTAAAGCTTAATACTTTTTATACATGCCGTTCTCTAACAAGCACCTTTTTGCTATACTATTTTTGGATATTGCCTCTTAACAACGGCTAAAAAGCCTTGGCAGGGTTCTGAAAAGCAATCAGACGCACAGGAGGGGGTTGGTTTAAAGAGAGGATCGTTACGGCGCCAAGCTATATTGCACGCGTAGAACGTAGAAGTAGAGAATAAGACTCTGTATTTCTAGTAAGCATGTTACAATAGCTACACTGCATAGATTCAATCGCATGCCTGTGAGTTCACCGCAGGTTTAGATATAGCCTGCAGTGGATAGATCGTAAGAGAAAGAAACGCAATCCATACCCATATATCCCAGAAAATTGTAATGAGGTGAAAGCACGACACCTGAGAAGGGACTACGGAATCTAACCCTGCCTCATCGTTCCGCCATTGTGCCCATCCTTTGAAGTGTGAGACATGGGTGCTGTCGGTGCTACTCCCGTGCCATTTCCATTTACGATCCGGCTCAAGGAGGCTAGGTTCCCTGATCCGCCACTGTTTTCCGTATTCTTCTTGTGCGAGGTCAGGGGCAGGACGCCTAACTGTGACGGGCCTGCTTGAGCCCGAGCATTACGCTGCTGTCCATAAGTACTGTCCTTCTCCTGGCCACGTCGAGGTGCTGTCGGTGCTACTGGTGTGTTTGGTAGAATAGTATCACCGAAGGTTATAGCTAGCCCATGACTACGAGTTGTCACATCCTGGCTCTTGTTCGCTTTGCGTTCTACCGACACCGGATATCGACCGTTGGAGAGGGTGTCACGAGGATCCATACCGGGAAGACGAGGGCCATCTGGCTTGAAGAGACTATGTGGTGATTTAGACAGGCTTTTCTCAGCGGCTGCCTCGACATTCTTGTTGGCTTCGTGGTGCTGAGTGATTGCAGACCGAACGGTATCGAGAACACTTTGAGGAATCTGGTTTCTTTCGCGAGAAACGTTTGATTTGGAAGTTTCCTGAGGCTGCCCCTGGAAATCCAATCCCTGTTTAGCGTTTTCAGCATCCTTACACGATCTCTCCTGATGTCCACTGGGCTCCTCTGACACGAAAAGTCGGCGATGTTCCTCCGATGTAGACCCATTCGAACGCGACTCAGACGCCTCCTTGCTCCCATTGACAGCAGACCCGTTCTGCGCCAGTGTCTTATTCTGCTGGGACTCAGTCTTGAATGCCGTTTTCCCGTAGCTCTTTTCAAATTCGTGGAAGACGGACTTCAGTTCGGTCATCGCCTTGTGAAGGTCGGGAAAGTTGGTGCCAATGTGCTCGTACACCGACACAGCATTCCAGGCCGCCATCATTACATCCTCGAAGTTAGGGAACGCCGTTTTCACTATAATATTAAAGAACTGAGTCTTGAAATCTTTAGGAATCCGGTCGAAGATCTCACTCTTTGCCGAAGCGGGGATTAAATCAAGACTGACTTTCATGCGTTTGTTGGATGGATGTCGGGGAATAGGCTCGCCATCCTTCCGTTTGCGACCACTTAGACCTGTCGCTCAATTAGTCGACGCATATGCAGGTGTATCGGAAGAGTTTGTCCCCACCGTTCGTTCCATGATCATCGAAATCTCCATATTCTGAGTACAGGTTCGAAGGTACCTGTAAGGAGAAATAGTTAGCAAAGCCCAAGACCAATAGGGACAACAATATGCTGTTTTGGTATTTGCCTATACTCCCCCAGACTTAGGGCCGGAGGAAGAATAGCAATAATGCACTTTGCCATTCATGGAACGTCGTACCGGTTGCTTGAGCAGACTATGGGCGTAGGCGCGCACAGCGTTGATGTTGTCTTTCCGCATCGCAATCTCCTGATGTTTCGCTTTCCATACCTTATAGAGGTTGCTCACCACGAATTGGGCAACTGGAATGGTCAAGGAGTTATTGTCGTCTCTTGGCAATTGCTCGGACTGCTGTATGTGGGCTTTACCATTCTCCACATTAGCCTTGACACGGCGGATCGTGTGATCTTTCTCAAAGAAAACATTGCCGAAATCATATATCATTCCCTCTTCCTTGATTGAGACTTCAGCAAGAGGTGGTTGGATTTCTCCCTTGACGTATTGATATTTTGGAGGTTCAGGATCAGATACTCCTTCGATAAAGGTATTCAAGTGGTCTACGTGGAAATTCTGGAGGTCCTCCGAGATATGCTGGGCGCGAATTTGAGATCGGTTAAGGTGGGAGGTGTCCATAGTGAAGATAATGATGATCAAGAACAGATTTCTCGGTGGGGTGCAATGAGAGTAATAGTAGAAGAACCGGTGGCCAATAGATGGTAATGTGAAGGATGACTGCACCCAGTAAAGATGTTTGTTCACCTACACGGGTATCCGGGATGCCTGGAAGGAAGCCTGTTTCCTGTGGATAAGGAACGCCGACGTGAAGGTGTAGCTTAGGTCTTCTTGGAAGAAGGAAGGCAGGCCTGGAGTAAAGTCAGACAAGAAGAGAGGATACGGTGGAGAGGGAAGAGGAGAGGAAGAAGGGGGAGTGATGGAGGTGGACGGAGGCTTAATATAGTTAAAGTCTGCTGGTAAAGGTAGCCAACTACTTCAACAACGTTTGAATTGCGGTGAGGATCAATCTACTCCTCGATCTGGCTGTAAGGTATACCGAAAGACAGAGGTCGACTGGCTTCACTGAAAGAGGAGAAAGAAGTTGGCCCTGAAGCTAGCTGAGGGGGATCCCGGGGTCTGCAAGTACTCAGAGCGTCTGATAAGGGTGCAGTGTGCTTCGACGGGACACGCTGCCGTGAAGGTGAGTTCGTCTCCTCAGCTAGAAGCCTAAGGGTAAAGAGAGCCGAAATTAAGAGATATGTAAGTACATGTTGAATCATCTAGTATTGAATTAAGAGAATCACTAAGTGGTGCTGCATGATCGTGAAGCTTAAGCCTGAAACTGAGAGAAGAAAAATATGAGTGTAATCATCGAGTTCATCGTGACAACCTAGATAAAGGTCAAGGTGCATAGAAAATGACAGAGTTTCAAAAGTGGGCTCGGGAGCGAAAGCATGACATGGACGAAGGATAACCACCGGTTTAAAGAATCATACACCCAAAGTCCATCACTGTGGTTCGAATAACCCCCTGCGCCGAATCAGAACCATTGTTCAGGCACTTCTAATCTCCGCCCAGCGGTGTGTAAAGCTGCACTTAGTTTAATGTTCTTCAGATGTGTCTCCTAAAATTCGCCTCTAGGCAGAAAATTACAACAGTTTTAGGCGTGTTGTCGATCTATTGTGTGCAAAAATCGGGAAATTTCTTGGCGTTCCTCGGATCTTTTTTTCCCCCACCAAAATTGTATAGGAGATCAGAATCTTAATAGAATTCCTAATATATCAACAAATAACAATTAGATCAGCCCTAGGTAGGTTAAAGCCTTTAGTTTGTATAGAAAAGCGCCTATACTAACTTTTTTAGGAGTAACAACGCGTTTGTTCGCGATGTATCGCGCTTATGGCGTCTCCATCCTTTCTGGCCGGCCCTAATCACCCTAATATCTCAAACTAAGCACCTAAGGGCTTAATAATCGCGTTTGTATAAACATCTGTTAGTTTCTCCTGCTTAGATGGCCTAGAACTGCAATTACTAATTATAAAGGTTGTTCTCTCTATGCAGTTCACAATGTAGAGAACAATCTTAAGGCTTATAGCAGCGTCTGTAAGCCACCCACCATGAAGCTTAGGAGACCTTCTAAAATCAGCAATAAAGATGGCGAAGCTCTGTTTAAGGAGTTAATCCGCAGCAGATGGAGATACCAGGACAAACAAGCCTATTAGCTATAGATGGAAAGAGGCGTGAAGGTTAATAGATCCACAATCTCCTGTTACCTCGCCTAGCATAGATAGAGCAGGCGTACCTTACGGCCTTTCTTGCAGGCTTGTAATAAGGAGCTTTAAGAGCTCTACTGTTACTCTCTCTATTAGTTTACACAGGACAATTTAGTGTTTCTTAACAAGTCCATCTTCAACAAGAAAACTAGCTGGCGGCACAAGGCTTATAGGCCTGTGGGCCATAAAAGTCGATATACTTAGGATATAAGGCGCAGGAAGACGTGGGCCATCCTCCCGGCCTATACAGTAAACGGATACCTGCCTTGTACAGGGATAAAGGAAGGATATTTCAATCATAAAGAGTTTGTTGATTGGATCAAGCAGCGCCTCCTCCCTTCGCTTCAAGCAACCTACAGGACCCGGCCTATGGTTATAGTCCTCGATAACGTCTCAATCCATCAGAATGAAGCTGTTACAACTATCCTTGAGGCTACTAGCAGTCTCCTTGCGCTTGCTTAACAGGCCCTGTGCCCTCGCACGCGTAGAATAGGCTGGTGGGTCGCTACTAAGGTCAATTTGACGCGTCTGGGTAGCTGGGGCTGCTCTGGCCTTCTGTTTTAGGCCCATCGTTGTCCTGTTACTCCAAAAATTGAGCTAAGAGCAGTATCTCTATATAAAGTTAAGGCTTTAACTTACTAACAATATTTAAGAAGGATTTGTTAATATATTAGGAATTCTATTAAGATTGTGATCTCCCATGCAATTTTGGTGAGGAAAAAAAAGATCCGAGGAACGCCAAGAAATTTCCCGATTTTTGCACATAATAGATCATTCTGTCCGTAGTGTTAGAGGCTAGGACAGCTGTGCACCCTGCTACACCAGGATTATCTAGATATTTTTGCGCTTCAGAGCAACCAGACGGTAGCCCATTCAGTCAAGAAGACAAAAACTGAGCTTTCAGGAGGTGCAGCCTACTCTAACATGCTTCATCCGCAGATACAGGCAGTATCTCGTGCTTTGACGAGAGGACCAAGCCCGCTTACCTAATGGCGCACTGTATACTTAGCGGTCTGCATTGTACACCTGCGATATGCCAAAAAAGCTGGGGCTGTGGCGCATGCTTTTAGATACTTCTCCCTATGCTTACTGTGCAGTCATCTGCTGGTTATTCTTGGATCACGTCGTGTGTGGTCGTCATCGCCCTTTACTTGATTCCTCTCTATCACCACGACCCCTGAAATGGATCCAGCCAGCCCAGCGCTGGCGCAAGCTCTGCTTGCATGATACATAAGCCGGGGATGATCAGAACAGACGGAATCTGAAATTTTTCTTATGGCCCTAACTCTAGTCTTTAACAATCATTTCCTCTCTGTTTCATGAGTTCTTGAGCTTCGCAGTCGCTAATATTACGTTCTTATCTCTCCAAGAACGGCGGAAGTATTACTGCAGCAACTCAACTATGTCTTTATGCCCGTTCTGTGCAGCCCACATCAACGGCGTCGATCCGTCGTTGTTCTTTGCGTCAACATCGACTTTGTCAGTGCCTAGCAGCAGCTCGACTATGTCTTTATGTCCCTTCTGTGCGGCACACATCAGCGGCGTCGATCCGTCGTTGTTCTTTGCGTTAATATCGATCTTGTCAGTGCCTAGCAGCAGCTCGACTATGTCTTTATGTCCGTTCTGTGCGGCCCACATCAGCGGCGTCGATCCGTAGTTGTTCTTTGCGTCAACATCGACCTTGTCAGTGCCTAGCAGCAGCTCGACTATGTCATTATGTCCGTTCTGTGCAGCCCACATCAGCGGCGTCGATCCGTCGTTATTCTTTGCGTCAATATCGACTTTGTCAGTGCCTAGCAGCAGCTCGACTATGTCTTTATGTCCGTTCTGTGCGGCCCACATCAGCGGCGTCAATCCGTAGTTATTCTTTGCGTCAACATCGACCTTGTCAGTGCCTAGCAGCAGCTCGACTGTGTCTTTATGTCCGTTCTGTGCAGCCCACATCAGCGGCGTCGATCCGCAGTTGTCCTTTGCGTCAACATCGACTTTGTCAGTGCCTAGCAGCAGCTCGACTATGTCTTTATGTCCGTTCTGTGCGGC